TTAGTTTTATGAGATGTATAACCATCCTTAACAAGCATCCACATGCGATAGTCAATCATTTGTAAAAATGTAGACATGCGAGTTTTCCAAAAATCAAAAGGAATATTATCAAACAAAGGTGGTTGTGTAATAGAATAATCTTCTGAAGTATTATAATTACCAAAGTTAGCCATTGATCAAAATTTAAAAGTTTTCAAAAACTTAATTTTATGAATACGGTTCTGATACCACTTGAAAGTTCGACAGGGATGTTAAGCCCTAATGAACTAGTCCCAAGGCTAACCAAGAGGAAGAATGAATTAATATTTAAAAAATTCTTTAAGCAAAAGTACAATCACAATCAAACCAAGATTCACTATAGAAATCAAAGTGCAAAATTTAAATGTGAAAGTACAACAAGAAAGAACACACTATATTTTATAGTGGTTCGGTCAACCCGACCTACGTTCACTCCTCGGAGCCTCTCCTCTGAGTATTGCACTAAATACAATGTCTCTCCTTTTTCTCTCACAGTAAGGCGGAGAAGCCCCTATGAAAACTCCTTTCCACCAACTCCTGTGAGGCAGAGAACCCAACTCTTTTTTCTTCCTCCAGAAATAGGAAGAGAACCCAACTTCTTTTTCTTCCTCCTGAAGCAGACAGAGAATCTCAATCAAATGCTAAAGTAGACCTCTCTGGAACCCCCAAGGAACCAAGGATGATGATCGGAGAATACGACGATCAATCCTTGCTTGAAGCAACCTTTGTGAAACCCCTCACAAACTCTCCCTCATAAGATCCTCTCTCTCTCTCTCTCCCTTGCTCTCCCTCCCTCTTAACTCTCTTAGGTCAGGACAGCAACAAAAGATTTTTCCTTGAAAAAATAAGAGAGTTTTTAAACAATGGCTCAAAATTATCCCTAATTAGCAACTAATCATCAAATATCATCCAAGATGATAATACATCATCCTGTATGATTAGTTCAACTCAACGAATATCGTCCAAATAATCGCCCTAAATGGATGTCTGGATAATGGAAAAATAGCTAGATCATCTAGGACATCATCTGAACCAATTAGTATAAAACGTCAAATATCATCCAGAACATTGCCCTGAATGGAACCAGTTCGATGTTTGATCATCCAAGAAGAACTAAGGTTTGTGAATTGATCGCCCCGGTTGATCCTGTGGTCGTCTAGGATGATATAATCGAGCAATCAAACCTTAATTGCTTTCCTTAATTACCAGATTAATTTAGGCATAATTGCACTGCATCATCCAGGATGATGTCTTGTACAATGTCCAAAAATAAAATATGCATAAATAGTTCTTGCGACATATTCTTTTTGATTTGAGCCTAATCGTTCTGACTGATACTAATATCGTCCAGGTTGATGTGCTTATTGCTGTTGTCTTAACCATGATGCCCTAATTAGGGTTTCTATTTTTAACTGATCGTCCATGCAAATTTTTAGATTGTCCCAGACGATGTGATCAAAAATAGAAAACTTTAAAATAGTAAAAAAATTTCCCCAAGTATTGTGTACAAGGTTACTTAACATCAGGACCCACATTATTACAAATGAGTCAAGAAAAGGTAAAAGAAACATATCATATATTAAAAACTGACTCAGTCATAATCTATTCAATTTTGAGCTAGTTCAATTTATAGTTTGATCTTGTATACCTGAAATATTAGTAGACAAGGCAGTCATAGAGAAACAGAAGTGTTTGTTATCATTAATATTTCATGAAATCAGATTCACAACGTGACCATCACTAAGAGGGTGGAAATGGATCTAAGATTCTCTCACCATCGCGAGGAGGGTGAAAATAAAGTTATGATTCTCTCACCATCACTAGGAGGGTGAAAATAGAGTTATGATTCTCTGACCGTCACTAGGAGGGTGAAACTAGAGTTGAGGTTCTTTTCCAGTAAAAGAGTCATGGTTCTTTGCCACACCAGGGAGGTAAAACATCATATGTACATGCTTCTCCACCTTGCTGCAGTAGCAAAATGAGTGTCACTATTGTTTATTGCAATACTTAGAGAGGGAGTCTCCAAGGAGTGGACGTAGGTCAAGTTGACCGAACTATTATAAATTATGATATGTTCATTTCTTTTATTATTTCCCCACTTTATTTTCTATGACTATCTGTGTGGCTGTTAACTCTGATTTATTTCATTGTTGTGAAATTTACTTATTTTCGTATCCACTATGTCGTTTATCATGTGTGGGTTTGAAATGGTTTTAAAAGATTTTTTTTTCTTAAAGAATTTTTTAAATATTCAATTCACCCCCCGCTCCCCCCCCGGTCGCTCTTGGTTAGCCTCAGGTTAGTTCTTTAGGGTTTAACAACCCTCACAAAGTTTCACTTTATATGTTTAGGAATTTTCGGTGAAGCTAAGATGTCAGCCTTAAGGGATTTGAATAAGGCTTGTTCCAAAGCTAAGTTCTTGATACCCATGCTAGAGCTCATAGTGTATATTGCCTCTTGACGTATAATTTTTTCCTTAATGGATGATTAATCTAGATACAACCAAATTAAGAAGACCCTAGAATGCAAAAAATTAAGGGAAATTTACATACATACCACTTTATAACATCTTATTTACATATCTAACACTTAAAACTTTAATATTACATGAATACCACCCTATGTTATTTTAATATCAAATATACCACTTACATTTCTTTCCTACCACTCATATATTTCATTTCTACCACTCATATTTGGTATGAAAATGAACTATGGGTGGTATGTATGTAATATTAAAGTTTTAGGTGTTAAATATGTAAATAACATAGTATTAAGTGGTATGTAGGTAAATCTCCCAAAAATTAAATGTATTCATAACACTTATCGAGGTCTTCTATTATAAGGTTATACCTTTCGAACTTAAGAACACTAGTGCGACCTTCCAATGGGCTATGACTCAAATTTTTTATGAACTTATCCACAATAAATTGGAGTGTTATGTCGATGATTTGGTTGTCAAAAGTGATGATGTTGTAGCACAACCAAGTGGGGGGTGAATTGGTTATTTAAAATTTTAACTAAGGAATAATGTAGTTTGTAATGTAAAAAAATAATTAAAACACTAGTGGAAATTTAAAAAAAGTACTTGAAAATATATTTTTTTTGTTTTATTTTTAAGAGCATTAGATTATTACTAAATGCTTAATTTAATAAAATAAGTTCAAATAAATAATAATTTTTAATAAAATATCTATAATTTTAAAATCATAAATCTCAAATAATAAAATTTGCAAGAAATAAAATGCAAAAAAGTAAAAGAAATGCAAACCAAGATTTTATAGTGATTTGGTCAAACTTGAGCTACGTCTTCTCCCCATAGCTCCTCCACTTTAAGAATTCTACTAGTAACCACTCATTTTCACTTGGGGGGTGGACAAGCATTTCTTCATTCCCAGGTGCAGAATGATCTTTATAAACTCTTCCTTCCAAAAATCCTAAACTCCCTCCTGCTTTCGAGCTCATCTATGATGCCTCCATCCTTCTTCCTACCTAGCAGAGATGCCATTACCCTCTTTCTGCTCCTCCCATCGGCAAAGATCTTGCTCCCTTAGCCTCCTCAACAAGAACAATCTTTCGCCCAACAGACTTTCTTCCTAGCTCTTCCTTCCAAGAGTGCTCAACACACAACCTAGAGGACGAATGTGCAGCCGCAGAGAAAAACCATGCAATCTCCCTCACACAACCCTATACTCCACAATGAACAATCTTTCAACCTCACCTTTTTCCTCCTCAAATGGTTTGGACAAGCTCTCTTAAGTAGAAATACCTCTTCCTCTCCAACGGACTTTCTTAAAGAAAAATGACTCTAGTTATTCACTTTAATTTAAAATAAACTCTAATTTTTAAATATGATATACTAATCGTGTAGTACAAAGTGTGGGTCGTACAACCTGATCATTTTAAAATCCATTTTATAGTTCTATTAGATCAGATTGTACGATATGAATTATATAGTACAATCAGTTGAATCAACTCAACATTCATCTTGGATGAATAATGGTTTGTCCAGCATGAGTTCTATCATTTGTATTGTCCTATCTAGATTGCATAATATGATTCATAATTAAGATTTTATTTGATTCAATTGCTTGATAAACATATTGAAATAGGCAAGTTCATTACTATTCAAATGGTATGATTAAGATCATACAGTACCATTAGTTAAAATTTCAAAATTCGGAATTTAAAATTTGTCTATTTTGAAAATCTAAAATTTGTACTAGGTATTTATCAAAATAATTGACCGTCTTGTAGGATCAAAATTGTACAGTATAATAAGTTATGCTGAATTTTAATTTTATTAGTTTTATCATATATTTGATTTAAGTTCTAGGATAATTAATTGTACATTACGAGATCGATTGTGTAGTACTATTAAATAGAGAAATTGTGTTTAAATTATTTTCTCCACTCATGAGTGTTTGATAAAATATTTAAGGAAATTTTTTTTTTTAGATACATTATCTGACCGAGAAATTGATTGTGATGAGTTTAAAATTGAGATACATTATCAGTCCTACACAAATAAATAAAAACTTGAAAAACCTTTTTTCTAACTAGAAGAAAATTTTGAAAAACCTTTTTTAATTTACACAGGTAAAGTCATACTAGCTAGGAAGCTGCAACCCTACTGCAGCAATAGTAGCAGGAGTCACATATTTTCTTGTGCCATGCTTGACTTCAGCCTTTAGATGTTGACAATGGAAACAAATCTTAGTTTCTTTATTCATTATCAATTGATTTTGTTTTTTTACATGTTTTTGTGACTTCTTTCTCTTTAGATGTTGGCATTGCTTAAGCCTTTGAGTAAATAATAGGCCTTTGGTGAAATAGGAGAAATTTACCATGGAAACAAATTGTAGTGTCTTTGTTCAGTAGTATAAAAATTTTATTTTTTTCCTTGTTTAGACGTTGGCATTGCTCAATTAATTACTACTCCTAGGAAAATATTCCAAATTCAAATATGAGAATCAAACCTCTTCACCATGCAAAACTTCCTTTTTATAGATGACTATATAAAGGACACTGTCACGTATATATATACTGATATCTAATATTTCTTATCAAATTAAAACTTAACAAAGGTATGATCATGGCTTGCTAGATGGTATTCTTCATACAGATCAACTTGCAACTATTTCTTCAGCGAGGTCCGGCGACTCCTCCCATCTCTGGAGATGTCAAGCAGGTGAGTAATGCCTTCTGTCCAAATCTCATGCTCTCTCTCTGTCCTGCACTCAAACTCTATAATCCTACCTTCTGAGACCATCAAACCGAAGTACCGCCGCTGCTCGCCTCCTTCTAGTAAATTCCGGCCCGACCACTCCGGCACCTCCTTGCAAACCTCTATCACCACACCTACACTCCAGTTGTAACAGAGGAGTACTCATTAGGGTGTTCATCGATATATCAACATTAGAGAATATCCAATTATAATTAAGTTTGATTTCTTACTCTTTTTATTCTTTGTGATTGTTCCAACTATATGCTTGCTCTTCATTTTTAGTATCACCTGCTTGTATAATTCAACAACAAAAATATGCGCCAAAAACTTCTCCAAGAACACAGCAGTTTGAGCTTTATATTAAAAGAGAAAATTACCTGACCCCTCTTGCTGATGTAAACTGAGACAATCTTCCAGTGAAGATCACCTGAAAGAAATGCAGCCATAATGAGCTCATCTGAACCTTGGGAGCTAATCAGTATACCCCTTCTTCTCCTTCACTTTAATGCCATATTTTGAAAATATATGTCAAATAATTTATTATGATTTATCAAAATTTAACATTTATTATATCAAACAATTTTAAAATTTAATGCCCACAGAATTTACTCAGGCTTCGTCGTTTTCTTACTACTTCTTAAGGCATCTTTCTAGCACAAAAAATTTAATTTTTGTGCTAAAAAGCTGCTTCAGAAGCGTAAGAAAGTCATTTCAAACGAAGCCTAAATCCGCATGTGCAAGATTTGCTAAATCCTAATTGTAGCCAAACATACTTAATGAGTTTCTTAATGAATTCCAAAAATGATATTTTCTTTAAATTGTATATAAAAAAATTACCAACTGAACTACCTTTCCTGGTTCTTTTGAGCAGCTCGGCACCTCGACCAAGAACCTCCTGGCTGCAGATTCCTAGAAAGTTCTCTTCATAGTTCAATCCTGTATCAATACTGTCATTTCCGTCGGATGTCGCAGGGCTGTTAAGCTTGTTCTGGTGATCGAGATGATTTTCCGGCAGAGAACTCATTCCACTCTTCTCTACAGGAATCACTGCTGCACTGTTCCATACGTCTCTTAAAGTCCTGGCCTTCAGTGTTGCTGCTGCCCTCAAAGCTGATAAACAGTAAAGTAATTATAAACAATAAGGTTTATCTTGCTATCAGCCTATCATGAAGATTTTTTAGATGATCTATGTAAATTCAGTCATTAAGAAAAATAAGATTAAAAAAAGTAATAAATGTTTTATTCATCTACAAAGCTGTTATTTTTTTAATAGTACATACTTAGGCTTCATTTCCAACTGCTTTGTTACTGATTCTTAAGGTATTTTTTTTAGTACAAACATTTTAATCTATATACTAAAAAGCTGTTTTAAGAAACAATAATCTCCATTATAATGAGCAATTATGACAAAAATTGGGCCTCATATGTCAAAATCCTTAATTTTTTGTTTAGATTATCAAAAACAAGCAGTTGATTGCCACATTTACTTTAAAATAAATTTTAAATGGTTTAAAACTTTTTTTGACTAAAATTTAATCAGAATATACTCACTCACCTAATATTTTCCCTAATTTCTTGGGCGTGAGATGCATTTCTTGATAAAAAGTACAGCCCAATCTTTAATTATTAAACTTACCGGTGGCTGCGGCCGCTGTCAAAGTGGCAATGTCGTCGCAGTTGCGGACACTAACAGCGGATCCAACGGCGGCAACGAGTTGGTCATGATCGGCGCCCATGTCCTTCGCCGTCTCCACGCACTGCGCCGCTACCAGCATAGCTGCCGACGCCACGGCCATATCAGTTTGTGCCGAGCGCTCCTTCCGGCCAATCTCTCTCGCCGTCGCAACCGCCACAGCCGCCACCGCAGAGGAAACCCCGGCCAATGAGATTGCCGCGTGTAATTGTGCGTTATGTGTACGTGCTTCTTCTTTCTTCTTTTCCCGTCGGTCTTTTAGCCATTTCCCCACCGTTTTCCCGCCGCCTGACGGCCGCTGCTGTCCAGATACTGCTTGGATGTACTGAAAAATTAAAGAAAAGACGAAATTTTTTGAGGACCTGATGTAGGGTATGTTTGGTGCTAATGCAATTATTCATCATTCATATTCCAATCATTTTTATTATAAGTTGCTCCTTGTCACAAAAAATAATAATAATAATTAGAATTATTTCAAAAGTGCAGTGTGAAAATACTATCACAAGTGAAATTATTCTGTGCGTATACGGACGTTGTCCAAGGGGTGAGTCAGAATGCACCACATAACTCTATAATCCTATGTACTACGATTATGTATCAGGTGACATGACACATTCTGATTTGCCTCCGAACGATCCGGTGTCTGCACAGAATAATTTATCCACAAATAGGTGAAAATTATTTGTGTGGATACGGATGCCATCTGGTGGCAAAACAGAACGAGCCACATCACTTTTTTATTGTATACCGCGACTGTTTAGTGTTATGTACCAGTTGATGTGACGCGTTTTAATTCACCTCTAGACGGTATGGTGTCTGCACAAAATAGATGCTAAGGCATCCCTTAACTTCTCCAACTCATATCTCTCTCCTATTTTGTAGGGATGGTGGGGGAAGAAGATTGAAGAAGCCATTGTTATGTCTTGTACGCTTGCTTTCAAATAAATATATAAAAGTATTACTTTCAGGTTTATCTAAAGAAGGCCTCGTCTTCATTTGTGATGTCTTTCTTACAATTTCTTAAGACAACTTTTTAATAAAATTTTTTATTTTGTTTACTAGAAAGCTGCTTTAAGATTATTTAATTTTGAAAACTAGCCTTTACTCTTATAAGATATCTTCAATTATATAAGCTGACACAACAATAGTATATTCTGAGATGAGATAGACAACATCTAAATTAACATATATTAATTTATTAAAGATAAGATCACATTTATAAATTCAATGTACAGAGATGAATTTTGATTGTTAAATCCATCAACCCACAACCATCCAAGGATTTAAATTATATTGATTTGATCTTTGGGAGTATAAAAAAAGCTAAAAATAATTTTTTATACCAGAGAAGATTTATATTACCAATTAACTTAATAAATGTTTGGTGCATTCACAATTTATGACAGAAAATTAGAATATAAATTACATATAATAAATTTAAAAAAAAATTATTGAATTTATTTTGTAATTAATACAATACAATTTCTTATATATAATATTAATTTTAAAATAAATTCGATAACTTTTAAATTAATCCTAACATAATTTGTATCTCATTAATAGGCAATTAATATAAGACCTTCTGATTGTTGAGATCGGAAGGGGAGACTTGGGGGCTGTTGATACGATAGCTGCAGTTGAGAGGCCCGCTGCTGTGGGAGAGACGACCAGAGCTCCGAGGAGACATCTCTTGCTACAGAACAGAACGAAATAAACAGATTAAAACCGTCAAATTAGAAGATCAAATAATATTCCGTTATGAAATTTAAACTAATATGAAGGAAAAAAAACTTCTTTTTAACTAAGAGAAATAAATCATTGATTGAAAAATTATGCACTGTCAGGTTTTAATATGAAAAGAACAGAGAACACATCAAATTCAATGTAAAATTATTTTTCTTCGGCAAAGTTTGTATTTGAATCAATGGAAAACAGAGCTCTGAAAGGGGAAAAAATAAAAATAAAAAGATGCGACTTTTCAGGAGAATTTATGTTCTTTTTTGTTTTTTTGCTTAAAAAATATCAACTTACAGACATCAGTCGATCAAGAACGAGTTGGGAAGTAGAAGAAGATGCAAAGGAGAACGGGTTGCCGGAGACAGTCGTCATACATGGCGACGCCGCCGACTCATGATCTCCGGCGAAGCCATGATCTGCTAGAGTTTCGTCATAGAGATGGAGAGTTGAGGAGCTCCATAAGCGAGAAAGAAATTCCATTGGGTCGAGGGGTGTCTCCAGCGGACGGAGATCGGAGTGATCGCAAGCGGCGTTCATTTTGTGGGAGGAAAAGGAGGATTTTTTGTATGTTTAGAGGAAATACAGAGCGCTTCGGACGGAGTACTCTATTTTACAAGTGTTGGGGTTGTCGCTTCTGTTTGACCTTTCTCTATCTAAAACTTGGGGCATTGAGAACCATTCACCGGTGATTTAATTACAGTTTTGCCTCATTCGGATTTCTGGCCATTTTATGAGAGAAAATTAATTGTCTCATGATGGTCAAAATGTTCTCATTATCTAGAGAGATCTAGGATTTTAAACGACTCATAATTTCATGGCATATAGATGTTAGAATGCTTTGAAAAATTTATATAATTATCGAATTCATTCTTTCCAACCAATCCATTTAACATACCAATCTCAAATTGTAATAATTCAAAACATAAAAAAATATTTTAAAATAAAATTTTGAATTTATGATTGAATTAGAGTGATTCAGCTATCTGATTGATAGAAATTACCACCGCGGCTTGAAGCCTTTGTTACACAATAATTTTTGATTCAACATGCGACACCATGACACTGGGTCAGAGCAATGCGAGGCTAGACAACTAAAATTATTTTTTATATATTTTAATCAAATCCTAAGCACTAGAAGACTCTAGCACCACCACCTCTCTCGTACTTTTGGCTTGCTTGACGTGGAAGAAGAAAGGTTAAGGGAGAGGGAGAGGAAGAGGAGCGAGAGAGAAGAGAGAGAAAGTGAGTTTTTGTTATTTTTGTCTGCCACTTCTATTATAAAAATTCTTCTAATCCTCGTAAGTAACTTGAATCTTACTTTAGTTTTTAATGATTTTGAGTTTAACGAAAGTAATCTCTCCTAAATCGATAAAAATATAATTTTTCCTTATTTACCACACTTTTATCGTGTAAGCTTTTGTATATGATAGATATGAACTTTATGGACATTTTGACTGTAATATGATTGTATATCACTAGTTACAATGTAAGTTATGATTTTTCTGATGCTATTGTATTATACAAAATTTCCTAGATTTATAAATTTCACTATTTCAACATTTCATATTGCATTTCATGCTTGAAAGGAAGATTCATACAACTAATATGAAGCAAATGTAGTACATATATATATATGTAATAAAGGAAGGCTCTAAAATTAGTTCGAGTTTGTTGTTAAAACATAATACCATATACAAGAGAGTAGGATGATGATTTTTTCTTTTTAAGATGGTTTACGATGTTATATTGATTGTAGTTTATAATTAATAATTGATTACATCGATGGGCAAAGGATGATGACGCTTAATTATTTATTGAAAGTTACCTGTAATGATAAAATGATAAAGATATTTTAGTGGTGCTGATAATGATGAAACCAGATGAAAGAATGAAACACCATATTGAATTCATAATTATGTAGTTTAATTGATTTCAAGTCACGGATGGGGTCACGACCGTGTGTAGTGAGACTGATTGATATCTTTAGATTCCTCTTTAGAATTTGTTCTATTTCTTTTCTTCTTTTGTAATTGATATGTCATTAGAAAATTATCTTGATCGGGCATGAATCTCAATGCAAAGTCAAGTTGGAAACTTCTAAAATTAAAATTGGGGACAATCCGAACTTTGATTTCACCAAACTTATAGTCAAACTGAGCTCCTCAAGAATACAAACCCAAAGACACCAAATCCAACCCAATCCGAACCCAAACGGGTCCAAATCAAAGGTTAGAAGCGTTGTTGGAAGGTTTGAATCACAATTTAGATTACCAAATGATTTTCAAACATAACGTGCTTATAGTAAAATCGAGAGGCTTGACAAGACGAATCCAACGAGCCCAATATCATCGAATTCTGACATCTTTAAGACATTCAAATGTCCATCAAACGATCCATGATCAAGGGATTCAACATCAGCCCTCCATCCAACCACTCCCCATTTACATTTGATCTCTCACTTATTTATAGGCCATGTTACTCTAGAAATCTATAAATAAACCGCTCATTTCTCTTGAAAGGAGATCCAAGCAAGAAGAGAAGAAGAGAAGAAGAGAAGAGAAGGAAGAGAATAAAGAAGCTCCTCCTCCACCACGGCCTGGGTTCCGCTAGACCACCGCCTGATATCGTTGCTCTGCTGGACCACCACTTGAGGCCCTCGCCTTTGCCAGACCACCACTTGAGACCAACACCCTCACTAGACCACCAATTAAGGCCACCACCTTCACCGGACCACCACTTGAGGCCCTTGCCAATGTCGGACCACCAGTTGAGGCCCTTGCCTTCGCCGAACCACCACTTCAGGCCCTCACCCTCACCGGACCTCCACTTGAGGCACTCTCCTTCGCCTGACCACCACCTGAGGCCCTCACCCTCACCAAACCACCGCTTGAGGCCCTCAACTCTGCCAGACCAGTACGTGAGACCCTAAACTCTGCCAAACCATAAACTAACACCAGAGTTCTACCAAGTAACAGTCAAACTACTAACTAATCCCCCAACTTCTAAGTGATGCCAGATTTAACACTAGACTTCAACCATACAGTTAACATTTGTAATTATATTGCCCTCAAGGACAAGTCAGCCCACTGTACTCAACTCAAATTCTAGTGAAATCTTTTCAACTAGGCTAGGGCCCATGGTTTTTCCCTTATTCAGGATTTTCCATGTAAAAATTTTGTGTTCTCTATGTGTGAGCTGGATATCCGTGAAATGTTAAAATGTAAAATTACAACTCTATCACTGCATATATTCTAGCCCGCAACAGTTTAGCACCATCTATGTGAAGAGTCAATCCCACTATCTTAAGTACTCATCCAATGGCCAACATGCATAACCATCGCATCTTGGGAGCCTCTCGCTCTAATTCACATCAATCCATGAATGCTTCTATGAATCAGGGACCCTAGGCATCTACTTCCTTTCACCTCAGGGGAGAAACCCACTGGGGAAGGAACATCCAGACCATCCTTAGAAGATCGAATTAGAAAGATGGAAGAGTATCAAAATAAGATCCTTCAACTCTTGTGAGAGACTCGAGGACCGACACTAACACCTCAAGAAGATATTCTTCTACCTTAAGATCCACCAGGACTCAAAGATGTTCAACCTGAACATCTTCATGTCGAGATTCCCCTTCCGCCGCCAAGGATGCGCCCTCTAACACATCCAAAAAACGAGCTTGTTGAGATGACATGCTCTACCCATCCTTTCCGTGCAAGCCACCAGCATCTTATTCCTCTAGATGTCCTCGAGGACTTAGCTCAACAGCACATCACTGAACTCCCTCGTAATGCCATACGGCATGAACTACGAAGATTAGTCTGAGAGGAGTTCCCCATAGGAGATATATGATAATATCTTCATCAACGGGACTTTTAGGAGTCATCACCCCTGACTGAAGCCATACTTTAGCACCCTATTCCGATAAGATTCAATATACCAAGTATCGATTCATATGATGGGACATATGACCTGTACGAACATATTAATCACTAAAGGACCATAATGCACATCCAGCGAGCCTTTTTTTTTTTTGAAGAAATGTCGAGGCAAATTTATTAAAAGAAAGCTAATTACAATCTACCAATATCATCATATTCCTCCTTTAAAATTCATAAAAAAGAAAGAGGAATACTACACATAGCAATATCATCCCAAATAAAAGCATGATTCAAAGCAATGTTAGCACACAAGTCGGCTAACTTATTACAACTTCTATCTACCCAATTAAACATAAGCAAATTGAAATCTTTCAAACCATAAGGTACCTCATTGCGATCGTCCACAGCTTTAAGTAGATTGTAACCTTTTTGAAGATGTTTGAAAACATTTGCATTATCTCCTTCAACTATAATACCTTTGTACTCAAACATCCACTTTTGTAAGTACCGGATTAGGGACTGAACAGCAAGTAAATCGAGTTGATTTACATCCCAATGAATCCCATTAAACCCAAAAGCACATAAAAAACCTTCCTTTGTGAGCTTTGAATACTCCTCCAATGGAAGCCTTGTAAGATGATAACAAGCACATCACATTCATTTTTATCCAGTCAGGAGGTGGGGGATGCCAAGAATTTTTTAACACTCTATTAGACTGATTGACATCCCAGATTCCTGATGATTGTTTAACAAGAGCTGAATTTGTTGAAATAGAAGACAAGGTAATAGTAATAGAAGCAATAAACACTATACTGTCTTCACCATCACCATAAACTCCTTTGTTTCTAGATTTCCAAGATAAGAAAACCATCGTGCAATACATATTTCCCAACACAATATGCTTAGAAACACATTGATTCAGCCAAATACAACAATCCTCAAACCTCTTAAAGACCGGGATAGCAAATCCCCAATTATTAAGAGTTTGAATAATCTGATTTAATTTTGAACATCCCACCACAACATGCTCATAATCTTCAGTATTCAAGCATTCTCTCGGGAAAAAAATAGAATCAATCAATCTTCTATGGAAAAGAAAATTGAAAGTAGGAATCACCTTGTGATAAATCCTCCACCAAAAATTCTCAACCCGAGAATTCAGTTTAAGTTTTCTAATCCATCCCCAATACGTAGTAGAAGAATCATTACAAAACATAGCATTAGAAGCAAGATAAGAAATTGTATTACTAGACATTTGATTTATCATTTCCACCTGATCACCCTACTTAAAGGGATGAATATTAATTCTGCTAATCAGCTGAACCAAGTCTTCACCGAAGTTCTTTCTCAGAATATCCATGCTCCATGAAACATTAGCAATCAAATTCTCTACTAACATGTCAGGTTCCATCAAAATAGAAACAAAAGTAGGCCACAACATGATACTTTTGTAAAAAATCCAAGTGTCTTTTAACACGTTTATTGATCTCCCATCAACGATACGCCATCTTGTAATCTTATTAAGAGCTTTAGCACCATCTGTAATAATTTTCCAAGCAGCAGATTTCTTTGTAAAAGAATTAGAAGTAGCCAATCCATATTTTAAAGACAGAATTTTATGCAGCAAACAATCTTTATCATTCAAATAATTCCAAGTTAGCTTAGTTCTTACCGGGCCAATAGATTTAGAACAAGAATGAATACCTCTCCCACCAAATTCAATTGGTTTACACAAA